TAGTAATTAAAATAAAGAGAAAGAGTGTCTCACCTATGTCGTTTATTTTGTCAAATTCCCCCAGTTACCATGTAGTTCGGTTCCTTATCTACCAGAATAGAAGTGTTTCCTGGTGAAAATAATCGAAAAACTAAAAAAAAAAAATTAATTGAAAATGGAAGGAGGCAAAAAAATAATTGATATAAGTAGTACTAGTAGATAGTGTTTTGTAGATACATTTCTATTTTTATTTGACGTTAGTTTTGTTATAGCCAATCTTTGGACTAAAAATTTGTTTTTTTTTTGCGTTCCTTTAAAATAAAGAGAAAGAGTGTCTCGCCTATGTCGTTTATTTTGTCAAATTCCCCCAGTTACCATGTAGTACGGTTCCTTATCTACCAGAATAGACTGTTTCCTGGTGAAAATAATCGAAAAACTAAAAAAAAAATTAATTGAAAATGGAAGGAGGCAAAAAAATAATTGATATAAGTAGTAGTAGTAGATAGTGTTTTGTACATACATTTCTATTTTTATTTGACGTTAGTTTTGTTGTAGCCAAGCTTTGGACTAAAAATTTGTTTTTTTTTTGCCTTCCTTTACTTTTTTCTGTTCTCTTTTAGTGAGCGCATTTTTCCTATGCTCTTGCATTTTGACTCTTTCAGATTTTAGTCAGAAAAATATAAGGAATGGGCCTAGTATATCGTGCATTTATGTACGTCACATCCTTGTAGTGTGTGCTATTTTTTGTTTTTCTTGATAATTTTTTCGGTGTTTCCATGAGTCATTCAGACTGACACCAGAAACGAGTTTTGATGGATTCTTTGCCATGATAGAGCCCAGTACGAGTCCAAATTTGTCAGAAATAGTCAAAATTAGTTCGGAAAATGGTAGTGAATATACTATAAATACGTGTGCGGAAACGACTTCTGAATATTTGAGGCTATGTTTATGTAAAGTCATTCGTAATAACCAAGAATACTTATCACTGTTTTATTTTGAGTGTTCAGCATGTTGTATTTAACTAGTGAACCCGCATGGCGTTAAAACGGCCAAAATTGAACTTAAAAACCCTAAAAAATATTCCAAATATTAGTCACAGTTATAAGCGATCAAAGTGTCATATTTCATCCAAATCCGTGTGCCGTTTTTTAGTGAAGAGAGGTCTCGCATAGTGCACGTTTTAAATTTCATCAAATTTCAAATCACCCTTTACCGATAAAAAAGATCTTAAGTAAAAAAATAAAACTTTATCGCACATTTACAGGTTAGGGTCTTTAATTAGACCTCTCATTTTTGAAATTCAAAAGCACGCTGGCGAATGATTATCGCACAAAATACCTTCTCGTATAATGCACATACATATACATATACTTTTAGGTCGATATGTTTTTTTTCGAAAAGGTCAGCCTAATTAAAAATATTTTCAAACTAAAGCTTTCATAAATTTCTTTCGATTCACACCCATATCTAAATCTATATATATAAAAATGGTGTGAAAAATGTATAGTAATTCATCAATTGAGAACGGTTGGGCCGATTTGGTTAAAATTTTTGTTGGTTGTTCGTAATTGCCAGGAGAAGGTTTTTACGACAGAATGATTTTTTCGTATGGAATTTTGAGTGCAATTCCTTCAGAATGGCATTCAAGTGGAAAAATAGAAAATTCTAAGTGGAAAACTCGGAAAATCCGAAAGAACGCGAAAAATTTAAATTTTTTTCGACGGAAGCTTGGAAAATTTCGGATAATTGTGAAATTAATTGGAAGCATGATTCAACTGTGAACAATTCTCACCTATGTTTCATAACCAATTCGAATGGGTGCTGCTCTTTTGGAAATGTGTTTAGAAGAAGGAGTGCACAAAGTTTTAATTTTTCCGATAGGTGGAGCAGGGGCGAGCTACGTTAAAAAAATGCATTTGGTACGTTGGTAGCCTTTTGCCTAGATTAGGATATAGGATCCATTTTTCCGTTAAGTGGGCCAGGGACCGATCTATTCGAAAAAGTCTTATTTATGGTAATAGAGACTTCCTGTCTTAAATTAAACCTAGATCTCTCGACTACTATCTCTGAAAAAAGATCTTAAATATTTGAGATCTTAAAATATTTCTTACCATTATTATCTTAAACTAAATGATGGCAAATTTAATACCATGAATAATTTTATGGATTTAAATTTTAATCTGTTAAAACAAAGGTTATTTTCTCCCATTTTATAAGCTTTGGCTCCAAAGTTCGATCACGCCAAACCGGTATAATTCTCAATGATGAAATGGACGATTTCTCTACTCCCGGAGTAATAAATGCTTACGGTATTCCTTCGTCGCCATCCAATTATATCAAACCGGGGAAACGTCCAATGAGTTCCACATGCCCCAGCATAGTTCTTGACCACAGTGGCAACGTAAGATTGATGGTTGGCGGTGCTGGAGGATCTCGGATCACAACTTCAGTTGCACAGGTAATATAAATTTCAAGTTTTAATGTCCGTTAGTACAGAATCAACAGTATACAAAAGACGCCAAGGTACAAATTAAAATATCTTTGCCAGTCGTAATTTACAATCCGGAACAGAGCAGAATATTTAACATCTCGCCCATTGTGATTATTAAAATTATGTGGAATATTTTCCATCTTTAAACGTATGCAGGCAAGAAATAGCGTTTATAATGCATTAATCAATACGAAATATTAATTTTATTAGTGGCCAAAGCATTCGCTGCCAAGCGTTCATTAGTTGTGTTTGTTTACTCATTTTCAGTAAAATCCAGTAAAAGTTTTACGAATTTTCATGTTTTGACAGCTGAAGTTGCAAGTTTTTAATGGTTTTCTACTGGATACATTTTTACTTGTAAGAATTCGCCAGTGCGAAAAACAGCTGATCGCATGTTGCTGGATGCAATTTAAACTAATAAGGAAACTGTTTATGGGTTTTATTGTTGAAATTGAAAAAAATAAACCTATTTAAATATAAAATATATAGTTTTATTAGGAATTTGCTGCGAATAAACAAGCAATTTATCAGCTGTTCATGAAATTTGCAAATTATTACTGGATTTGCGTTCGCGTACTTTTTTGAAATCTCAGAGATTTTTTGAACTCTCAGAAATTAGGTTACTGGAGAGTTGCTGGCAAGTTACTGGATAATTTGTAAACAAGAAAAACTATTGTAGCAATAAGAGTGTTCTCTATGCAAAAAACTTGTACAAGTTGGTACCACTTGTTACCAAATCGTGTTCGTTCGACCAAAAAACCCAGTAAAACTTGCAAGGAATTTAAAAATGAACAATCTTGTTGCGATTTACTAATGTAAGAAGTATGTAAATATTTGTTTAGTAAATTAATTTAATCAATTCCAAACATTTGAAAGGTACACGGATGAAAAAGCTGTATTCGTAATCAGAACGCAGGCGACACCACTGCCGATATAGGAAATCCGACAGTGACTTCCACAAAGAAATTGTTAAAGAAAGTCAGAATTACAAGAAATATACGTATAGGTTCTGTTTTGGTTTCCACCTGAAATAATTTAAAAAACGTATTATGCTCGAAATGCAACCGTGGACGCCAGCTGGCAGTGAAGCTTGCAAATGCTTGCTAATTCCGGTTCGCGCAAAACTTATTAGGGGTATTCTCGAAGTCTTGCACGATGCACGGATTGCACGAAATGCAAAAATACTATTCCAAATTTCGAAGAGTACGAGAACACCCCATTGCAAAGTGGTAGCATGCATGGGGAGCAAGCAGCGAAATTATGTATCAAATACAATAACAAGAGACAGCAAAAAAAAATTAAGTGAGCGAGATGAGAGGAATGAGAGAAATATGTAGTAATTCCAACAACAAAACAACTAGCACAGGGTCGCTATTATCTTGCTATGCTATTTTGCAAAATATATACATGGGTTTCGACGTTGCATATTTTGCAGCGATAGGAAATGTTGTTTCCCATGAATTTTCTTGTTGTGTGTTTGCAATTTATGCAATCCGTGCAATCCGTGCTACGTGCAATGGCTTTGCAAGATTTGGAGAATACCCCTATTAAGTTTCAAGTATATTGCGTGAGCTAAATAAAAGCACTGTTAAAGTAACAGTGACGCGAGTCGATATGCATCTTCTGTTTACTTAGGGGATTCCCTTAAACTCGTAAAATCTTAAACTGTGTAAAACTCATAAGTTTACGAGGCTTTCAGTAAATAATTGCCTAAAGTGACTATTTGACAGATCAGCCGGGATTTTGTGAAGCAATTTTTGTTTTGTAGTATTTTCCATAACATCCCGCCATCTTGTCTCTATCACTCTTGGTTAAAATACAATTAAAAATGTCGAAAATTTGCAAAAAACCTAAGTCAGTACAGTTAGTGGATGAAATTAATTCATTTTATTTGCTTAATATTTTTTGATTTATTTGCATTATTTTTAACCGACTTCCTAAAAAGGAGGAGGCTATCAGTTCGTCGGAATATATATATATATATATATACATACTAATCTGGTTAAGATCCGATCAGTGGATCATGAGATATATATATATATATATATATATATTTTTATATGAGAAGTCGGTTTTTGTTTGCTAAAAATTACTTGTATCATACATTTTAGTATAACAATTTGGCTACTCGGCTACACTGAAGTTTACGAGATCGTTTGCGCATCAAATTTGCCCCGTAATTTTATGAGGGGCTCATAAATAGAGCTCCATACAAATTTTTACAGTACTTTTACGAGGCTCGAAAATTTACGAGCTTTATGAGGTTTACGAGGCTCTTACGAGTTTAAAGGAAGACAACTACTGTTCAGCCTGTGCCGTTAGTCAATTATTTAAACATAAGCCATGTATTTATGTATCCTACGTATTGGATATACAATATTTATATTTTTCTACAGACTATACTACGATATTTTATGTTGAACAATACTATTCAAGAATCAATTGACGCTGGACGTGTGCATCACCAATTGGCCCCTATGCAAGTGGACGTAGAAGCCGAGGTACCTGAACACATTAACAGCTACCTGCTGAAAGTGGGACATGAGCTTAATTATTTACCTGGAGATAAAGCCTATTCGGCCCTTACAGCCATTGGTCTTAAAACTAATGAGCCCCAGCCAGCTTGTGATCGTCGGCGAGTGGGCAGCTGGAAAGTGGTTTATTCGGGTGTTTAATCCTGCAAAGCATGGAACATGTCTTTTTGTTCATCCCTTTGTATAAGTATCGCAATAAAAACGAATAAAGTAAGTCATAGATGTTACACCAATATTTAAGTTTTCTCATATTAACCGTATAGAGTAGGGATGTTGCGAATGTGGAATTTTAGAAATCCGCGGATGCGAATGCGAATGCGGATGTGTAAAAGCTAACATCCGCCGATGCGAATGCAAATGCGGATGTCATGTATTATTAAGAAATAATTTGGATGGGTAAATTAGGTGATTTAGGTAAGTAAAAAAATGGAAGGGTTACTAATTTTTAATAATCTGCCTTATCCTGAGTTTTGGCCCAAAAAAATTCACCCGAAAATTTGTATTCCGTCCATAGTAAATATGTACATACATGAAAACCAAAAGTGAAAAGTGAACCGGTTCGGGGAAAACTAAACTCATGATAAGACTGAATGTTTTTTTTAGTACTTGAATTTAAAAATTGGAACATTGTACTTAATAAAAACTTTTCGAAGGGTCGTAAATCAAACCTGCGCCTCTGTATAACTACTCGCTCGAGGTGACAAACTTGAAAAACTTGAAAATTGGCAAAATTATCAATTCTTTTCGATTGACACCGCACCAGTTGAGAGGACTTTCAGTCATATTTATTTATTTTTATTGCGGTGAAATAATTACTTTATGAGAATTTCATCGGGGCTGCAAATGTCGGATGTATCCTCCTGACTTTCATCTTCACAATCTAGCATCATGGCACAATTGTGGAACGGAGACGTTTTTGGCTGTTCTTCTGAAATTTTTCTGATTGAATTGTTCGTTCAATACGCTTTCATTCCGCACTTCACAGATACTTTTTCATGGTCCAAGAAAAACAAAATAAAAATTAAGGAAACGCCTGACGGAATTTGAACTCGGCACCTTCTGGAAGCTAATAAATAGCGGTACACTCCTCTACACGCTCAGCCACTGCCGAAAACGTATCAGGGAAGCCAACTCGTGGGGAATTCCCCGATTTGCGGGGAATTTCAGTTTGCGGGAGAATCGGGGAATGGACCCTTTTTTTGTGGGGAATTGCAGCTCGTTCAATTTCGGTACAATAATGTTTCGAATAACCAAAAATTACCGTTGATCTTTTAGAATCTTCTTTGTCGCATTTGCTTTCATATAACGAATAAACATATTTTTTTTTTATATGGAAGAAAATCGCAAAAACTTTGGCAAAAATATCTAAAGCGAAAAGTTTTAAACGCTTGAAATTTGCACTTTATTATAATTTTTCTGGAAAACGAATAAAAATACTCGAAATGTTTACGAAAATTTGTTGAATTTTTTCAAATATTGCACCAAGGATGAAACTTGGATCTATACGGTATTTGTTAAAGAATGAACTGTATTTTTATAAAAAAATAACCCAAATCAAATAACAAAAAATAAATAATAATTGGTGTCACTAAAATTTTATCAAACACTGTCAACTACAAACATTTGTCAACTAACTTTATAAAAGTGTGTGTTTGGTTAATGAATACATAGATGAATTACATTTAAAAATAAAATAAGCAGAAAGACCAGCAAAATGTCAAAATAAATTAAATTTTTGTGTTTTTTTTTGTAAATAAGGCGAATGGGGAATTTTACGAAATTCCGGGCAAAATCGGGGAATTTCATTGTCGAGATCGGGGAATTCTCAAAAATTAGTTGTCTTACCTGCTACGTATGCATGCTTTCAAATGTTCAGCTTTAACAAATAAAATACAATTATTGCTTTCAATTAACATCATCTTTTTCGAATGTTTCGAACGTTTTCCGGATACGAAAATGAATGAAAATTGTAATCGTTTTCTATTCGTTTCCGGATACATAAAATTGTACTAGATCGCACTGTCGGCAAAATTAACGTCTACATATCTGCTGGCTGGGATAATATTAAAGAGAGTAGCATTTGTAGCAAGATTGTCATAATCCAAACAATCAAAATCTCGGGATAAACTGCTTTAAAGTTTGCCGTTTACCGACACCCCCATGGTTCAAATTAAGCTACTTTTTTTCTAATTAGCTAATATAAATCGATACAGCTATGAAATTTTTACCCAACGTTGAAGAAGAAGTGGTGGAAATGTTTGCATACTCAACTTAATAATATTTTTTGTTTTGGATTATGACATTTTTGCAGCAAAGGTACGATATATATGCATACGCTTATATTTATTTATATTCGTTCATAAATATGTATAGGCAGGTACAAATTTATGTACGTATGTATGTAGTAATACATATGTATGTATATGCTATCGGGTAACGAATGCTGTCAACTCATATCTACTAACATTCGTTAAACGATATTCAGTAGAGTTTTGATCGCGCAATTGATCTAAGGCCGTGGAACTGTGTGGATGCTCGTTAACGTGAGACGCCGACGGTTAAATGCTACAATATAGTACGAGTAGATAGAAAAAATCATAACACAGATAGTGCTAATAAAATAATCAAAAGATTTGTTCAAACATTCCGTGGTTAATATCTATAAACAATAATCTATTATCATGAGGTGAGTGAACATCAATTCAATTCTCGTAACCGTGAGCTGAACAAAGTAGGTTATACCGTACTCATGGCGGCCGTTGTAAGGCATTTGCCTAGCATGTTTGACCATCACTCTAAATATGGGAGTTCAAACATAACTTTTTGATGGCACAATTGCCAATTGAACTCACGTTTTTCTGTAGTTTGTTTATGCATTTACTATGTACGTATTCTTGAAATGAAAAGAAAATCAGGCGTATGTAGTTACGTACATATGTATGTATGCACTTGCCTATAAGTACGTGTATGAGCGCATAAATGTTGTCATTAGTACTTACATATTATTTACACCACTGCATTAATATAAAGTGTGCATTAGAACATCAACTAAAAAATTCCATCATTTACATATGAATACAACACTTTCAGTTTAAGTGAACCCATTTTCAAACTAAGCGCAACCTTTTTCAAATTAAATCAGACTTCATTCAAACTAAATTAAACTATTTCCAGCTTCAGTGAAACTTTATTCAAATTAACCCTTTTTGTTGTACTGTGAATTCGTTGTTACCCGCTGTGGCTCGTTACGTTCAAGGTACATTGAATAAGTAATAGCAGTATAACAGCTGCTTTGATTTGTTTATATTTACTCGCATTTTAAACTGCCAAAGTTTGTTTATTTTCTTTATATTCGTATTAATCAAAAAAGTCTCATTCGACTGTGAATCCTGCTTGTTTCCAAGTATTCATTCGTGAGCTGTTATACGGTGTTCGCATGAGGCGATTTTCCAGGCAATTTTAGAGGCGAATAGTTGAGTCCAAAGTTGGCTGCACCCCAACTTCAGGTGCAATCCCGTATTCCTCGGACTAAAACTAGTAAAACTTTCAAAAATTAAAAATTCGCTCAGAGCGAGAGAGTAACATTGAAAAGTACGGGATCGCTTTCTAGTAAAAAATGGTAACTTCCGTCAACTTCAACATAACCTCCAAATTTTGGTTGTCAATTTTTTTATTTATTTTGTATGTAAACACACTCAGCTCACACATGTAAATAACCAAAAACACTTTCAAATTCATTAGAATCCACTTAAACCCGTAATTAAATATTTTTCAACATGAATTAGCAAAATGCACATTTATTTTGTTTACAATTTCGGTTCCAAACACACTACAGCTGATCGTTTGATACATTTACCAGAATTTACCAGCAAAAAATCTTCGGACTAAAACTGGTAACTTCTGCCAGAGAGAGGACCTTATTTACTCTCTTTTTTCTCCTCTCAATAGTCATAGAACCGAGCATGATACAAATATTTAAAGGTAAAACCGCTCGCATGGTGGAATAATACAAGGTGTTGGATATTGACAGCGTTCTCGCTCTAATCCGCCATCTTGACTCCCTTAGCAAAATCGATGTTTCCCTCTTGAAAAAACTACATTTTACCGCCTTAAAAAAAGTACTAACTACCTCATTCCCTATTATAAAACTGATTTGCAATCACTGAACAATTATTTGACATTTACTTTATTCTTATTCGTTGACAACGGAAAATTAAATAACAAATTTTAAACTTTAATTCGACAAAAAACGTGGGCTTTGTGTATTCTCCAAAGGATTGACAGCGAGATGGACGCTGTTTTCAGGCACTCACTGAGGGAAAACTTGAATTTCTGCTGCGTGAGGCAAAATACGCCTATAATAATTTACAATACCGAGGAAGCGGCGCGAGTCAACAACTGTTTGGGGCTTTGGATAACTTTTTCCTCAGGAGGCTGGTAACAATGCTGGCTCACAGAATAGCCTAAGTAGACTACTTCACTTCCACCGATATGGAATTTTTTTATGTTGATTTTTAAGAGAAAGTCTCCTGCAGTGCGCCAGCCACCGGACTCTTTGGGCATTATGTGGATGGGACTTGTCCATTGATTGCTCGAAGGTGTTATGACACCATGATGCAGCAACAGATTAAAATCTTCTTTTGCGGCGTTCAACTTCTCACCAGTGAGTTTGCGTGGGCGCTCGTGGACGGCACCCTGAAATTGTGCATATGGAAACTGTGCATACGAAATAATGCATATGAAAAAAACCGAAATAATGCATACGAAAAAAAACCGAAATAATGCATATATGCACAGTTTCGGTTGAAAACCGCAACAATGCATATTAGAAAAACCGAAATTATGGATATGCACTCTTTCGTTTGAAAACCGAAATAATGCATATGAGAAAAACGAAGTAATGCATACATGCACAGTTTCGGTTCAAAACCGAAGTAATGCATATGACAAAAACCGAAATAGTGCATACATGAAAACGAACTTCTTTCTGAGTAGGCGGCCTTCGGCCGCGCTTAGGGATTATAACC